ACGTGTGCTCTTCCGATCTCCATAAAATATCCTACAAGTAATACTGGAAATATTTTTGTCTGTTTCTTCTTCATTTTGTTCATATTTAAATATTTTTCTCTTGTACACAAATTTTATTTTATAAATTATTTATTATAATAATTTTATAGTAATAATGAAAAACATTTTTGTTTGTTTCTTCTATATTTTGTTTATTTTATTTTGTTTATATTTAAATATAAACTCATTTTTATACAGACTTTATTATATAAATTATTTATTACTAACATGCACTCTTTTTTAATTAAAGTATTTTATTACTAAACAATGTTATTGTAAGTTTAAGATATAAAATTATTTAAGGTATAAAACTAATTCACAAATTCTATCCTTTTACAACTTGCAAATTATTTGTCTGTGCATACTTTAATGTTATGAAAATTGTCTTGTCATTTTGAACGAAAATGACAAGAAAGAAAAGTGTACGAAAGTGAAAAACAACAATGAAATATGTCCAATGTAATTGTAACGCTTATCTCTCTATATCAAAACAATATGCTCATTGTCAGATGGAAAGGTCAAATAATATAAAAGGAAAACATACTAATCCAAGTCGATCAGTTGAAGCAAATAGTTTAACAACTTCGAGATCTGCACAACTTGTCATTTTCGTTTAAAATGACAAGACAATTTTCATAACATTAAAACACAGTATGCACAGACAAATAATTTGCAAGTTGTAAAAGGATAGAATTTGTGAATTAGTTTTATACCTTACAATAATTTTATATCTTAAACTTACAATATAAATAACATTGTTTAGTAATAAAGTACTTTAATTAAAGAAGAGAGCATGTTAGTAATAAATAATTTATATAATAAAGTCTATATAAAAATGAATTTATATTTAAATATAAACAAAATAAAGAAGAAACAGACAAAAATGTTTTTTATTATTACTATAGAATTACTATAATAAATAATTTATAAAATAAAATTTGTGTACAAGAGAGAAATATTTAAATATGAACAAAATGAAGAAGAAACAGACAAAAACATTTCCAGTATTACTTGTAGAATATTTTATGGAGTTATAAATAATGATATTCCAATTAAGCAATGCGAAGAAGTATGACTTTGAGTAATCTAAAAAGAGTTTAAAGATATATCCCGTCATATTCTATTTGTATTGAAGGAAAAATTTTCTGGCGGCTGTCAATGCTCTCGTGGAAAAGATAGAAAAGTATTACTGAAACTACCGGCCAAAATATTACTGGCAGTAATTTACAGTAATTTATTACTGAAAGATATTTAGTAATAAATTACTGTAAATTACTGCCAGTAATATTTTGACCGGTAGTTTCAGTAATACTTTTCTATAAGGGAACGTCTTGTACTTATCATATTTATTGATAAAAGTACTGTATATATTAAGAAAATACAATAAAATCTAAATAATATTCAATGTAGAGAAAATGCAATATTAATTCCTATCTGTATAAAGTTCATATAATTTTTATTTCTATCCAAATATAGACGAGAGAGGTTTCTTTCGCTATGTATGTATAATCATATATCAAAATCGCAATCGGAAATCATAATTACACAAGAAAAAGTGATTATTCATATTATTTCGTTTAGTTTTACCAGTGAATTATGTTCGGCTTGTGTGTCCCACGTAGCGATGCTCGCACTGGAAAAGTAATACTAATAATGCCGGAGTGTGAAGTAGGACGATTGGATTCGCGATCTCGGCAGTTGATCGTTCGCGTTCGACGTTTCGAGTGCGTCTCACGACACGACGTTTCAGGTGCGTACCACGAACGGTACGCGTGTTCACACACGTGTCGCTGTACGACGCGGCGACTTCCAAAAACTGCCGGCCGAATAGTACGATAGTCCTGGCTCACGCGCGCTACGCGAAGCGGCAGATCGACACGCGCGTGTTTACGCGTGCGCGCGCGCGACGCAGCCGCCGAGCGCACGGTACCAATATCCATACTGGCGAGTCACCGCTTTATTTTCCACCGTTACATCACTGTCGCGCCGGTAGCTTCGGCACATCGGCATCGCCACCGCTCGGCCTCACGACAACGCGCCGCCTCAACTCTTATCGGCACGCAAATAAACCTCGCACGCGAAATTGCAACTCGCACGCATAATCTGCATAGGATGCAGATTGCGACGATTCGGCGCGGTGCAACGCGACTCGGCCGGATTGTCAAAACCGATCGGAACGCGCGGTTTTGACAATCGACGAAACTTGAAGCCGAAATGAGATCTTATTTTTGAATAAATACAAGAGTTTTATTTTAAAAAAAGATTTATGGCAATTTATTTTTGGCAATTCTATTTAATTCTCTTTCATTTGTGTTTAAAAGCACGAGCATTGTAATATTATATCCGTGATTTGAAGGACATTTTATGTATACACACACATGATATTTTTCCACAATATTTTAATATTGCTAAATTAAAATTGCTGTCAACTTCATAATTTATATTGATTCTTCTTAATAAGAGATGTTTATTTACATTATTATTTTGTATTTTCCTTTAAAATATTAATAAATTAATGTTTTAAATTTCGTCTTTAAAATTGATATACGAAATTATAAATGTCATAATTTTTTTAAATGGCTTCTCGATTTGGAATCGCTTTAAGCTAATTTATCAGAAGTATCAGAGCCAGGTGGACTGTGTAACAAACCTGTTAATGTTTAACAAACATGTTTAAAAGAAAGGCTGTTTGTCTTTTTTGAAACGTAGAAGATTCAAAAATGGTGATACGTATATAGAAATCGCGGTTTCTCTCACGACTTCAAATTTTTCTTTTATTTCGTATTCGATGCCATTAAAATCGAAAATTGTTTTGTGTTATTCACAGATGTTAATAAGGTCATGCAATACATATAAATTCATTAGCCATCAATAAATCATTTACAATAATTAACATATCTTTTTCAGTCTGAATTCTTTTTACCTTTTAAACACTTCTTCGTTCCAATTTTACACTGATATTAAAATCTCACAGTTATAAAATAACTCACACTTACAAAATATTTTGTCGCTTCTCAAAAAAATCAATATTTTTCTTAAATTTTTTTAAATAATATTTTAACGGAATATGTTTTAACAAATAATTCCACAAATAGGATAAACGTATTAAAATTCGTGTTGCAATTGATATCGTTTTAATTGCGGATATCGAGATTACAAATGGTTTATTTTTATTATACTGATCAAGACGTCGATCTTCCCTTGAGTAAACGAAACACATCGCGGTTTTAGAGCAAAAAGAAGCGCAGAAAGAGAGATGATGGGTGCATCGTGCGATACAATTGTTGCTGCACTACTAACATCGTGCAACACGTGCTGGTTGTAAACATCACTTACGTCAGGCGCGACGTAATCAATACGAAACCCATTTTGTCAATGAAAGGATCACGGTGGGGGATTCATTTCACAGACGCAAGATAATTTGCATCGCGTAGGCGAATTGTTTGAGGAACAAACGTTCAAGATCAAATCGCTACTCGCGACTATTTCGTCGAAGTTGAAACATCCAAAAGAAGAAAGAGAGATAGTAGAATAATCTATTAAAAATGGGACAATAATAAATAATTTTTAAAATACTGTTTTAAAAAATAACATAAACAATTTAAAACTGATTTTTTTTAAACTGATATTTAAAGTATACTTAAAGTAAGAAGAAATTAAAGAAAGTATACTAAGTAAGGCGGCAATAAAACTCTACACAATTAGCTAGAAGTATACATAAATGTTTCTGTTCTGCGAATATACATATTTGGAACGATCTCTAGGAAAAAGTTGGCTTGAGAGTAACGTCTTCGCTAGAGTAGATATCATTCCACACTTTTTCTCTCCGATATCCTCACCTTAACTCTTCGTACTCATTTCGGTATTCACGGGATCGCAAAAAAAATTGTTTAAGGATCTATATATACACTGAGAAAAAAAATTAATTGTGCGAACTAAATTTGTATAGTTATTTGATCCAATAGTTAATTCAACAATTCTTTAGTTGCACAAAGAAAGTTCATTCATGTCAACTATCAAAATTTTTTAATTAAGAATTAACTAAACCAACTCAATTAAAT